GAAAAATATATCATCCATGCAAGATATAAAAAACTTACCGGAACGTATTTTAAACATTTTATATAAATCTATTGCAATAAATACTACTGCTTTTGAGGGCGAGCCAAAAAATGGAAAAATCAATTTTATAGGTTCAAAAACCGAAACTGCTTTACTACAACTTCTTTTGGATTTAGATGTAAAAAATTATAAACAGTTAAAAGGGGATGCCAAAATTATACAATTTTATCCGTTCAGTTCTGATCGAAAAGCTATGGGTCTTGTAGTTCAAGAAGATTCTTATTATAGATTTTATGTTAAAGGTGCTAGTGAAACACTGCTTCAAAAATCGCAAGCTATAATCGATACCAATTCAGGTAACGAAACTGAATTGACTGATCATGACAGAGATGCTATTCAACAAATAATAAGATATTATGCTAGTCGAAGTTTAAGAACTCTCGCAATAGCATATCGTGACTTAGAACAATGGCCCCCTGATGGTGTATCTTTAGATCCTGAGGGTGAGATAAAATTTGAAGATTTAATGGTGAATATTACGTTATTGTGTATTGTTGGTATCGAGGACCCTTTGAGAGAAGGTGTTCGAGAAGCTGTTGCTGATTGTAGAAACGCCGGAGTTAAAGTTCGTATGGTTACTGGTGATAATGTTTTGACTGCAAAATCTATTGCAGAACAATGTGGTATTTATACAGCAGATGGTATAGTGATGGAAGGTCCTGAATTTCGTAACTTAACACCTGACAGAATGAAAAAGATTCTTCCAAAACTTCAAGTTCTTGCAAGATCTAGTCCAGAAGACAAAAAAATCTTGGTTGGAAAATTAAAAGCGGAATTCAATGATATCGTTGCTGTAACTGGTGATGGTACTAATGATGGTCCCGCACTAAAAACCGCTGATGTCGGGTTTTCTATGGGTATTTCCGGTACAGAGGCTGCCAAAGAGGCATCATCTATCATTTTAATGGATGATAATTTTTCGAGTATAGTAAAAGCGATAATGTGGGGTCGTTGCGTAAATGATGCAATTAAAAAGTTTTTACAATTCCAACTCACAGTTAATGTTACTGCTGTCCTACTTACATTCATATCTGCAGTATCTAGTGATGAACAGAGATCAGTTCTCACAGCAGTACAATTATTATGGGTGAATCTTATAATGGATACATTCGCTGCTCTCGCTCTTGCTACAGATCCACCAACTCCACAATTATTGAAACGTAAACCTGAGAATCGAGATGCACCTCTAATAACTCCTCAAATGTGGAAGATGATTATTGGACAAAGTATCTTTCAACTTGCAATCACATTAATTTTATTCTACGCTGCTGATGATATAGTAGGTCGTGGATTAGACCAAAATACCGAAGAAGGCCGATCTACGTTAGCTACGATTGTTTTTAATACATTTGTAATGTTACAGATTTTTAATGAAATCAAGTATGTTGTTTTTGTTTTTCAAAAATGGGTTAAACAGTTCTTTAAATTTTATTTAACACCTACTCCTCTTATAATAGTTGTCGAAACCTTGATGAAAAGTTAAACGTGTTTAAAAATATCTTGTCGAATGGGTTTTTCATTATCATATTCATTATAACTTGTATAGGTCAATTTCTAATAATTCACTTTGGAGGGTCTGCATTTCAAACAACACCATTGAATTTTATTCAATGGTTAACTTGCATTGGATTGGGTGCTTTATCACTACTTGTTGGTGTAGTCATCCGATTAATTCCTATTGAAAAGTTGTTCTCGTATAAGCAACCGAGGAGAGCACCTACTCCTTCTCCTGGTGAATCAGCAGTAACCAGCTGGCAAAAACAACTAAAGTTTTTCAAAGCACTTCGAGGTGGTGGACGTTTTAGATCACATTTTGGGCCAGTTGCTAAAAACCAACAAGCATTTGCAGGTGTTGCGGTGGTACCGAGTTTAATGGTATCTGCGGTTGGTGTACCATTGTCGATACAAAATGAAAGTCAAGAAAAAGATAATTCGAAGGTATCACAGAGATCAATACCAGGTCCAATACCATCGCCACGAGAAGAAATTGATGAATCCGATAAAAGTTGAAAAATGATGTTAGTTAAGATGTGAAAATTGAATGTTAATTGATTATTAAAGATGTGGAAAACTTGATCAGATGATAGCACCAATGCGCTAAAAAGTTAAAAAGCTTTCAAAAAAAAAAAAAAACTATTATAATAATAATAATGAAAAAAAAACACCTTTTATAGATTCATAAATAAAAATAATAAGTAATACGTAATTTGCTTTTAAATAAATGGATTTAATTCATAGTCAATACTTTTCATAACGCGAGATGTTTTTAGCGTTAACGAATTAAGTAGTAAATTATATTAGTAACATTAAGTAGTACCGTTAAGTAATATTAAGCGACAAAGTTAAGTATCAAGATTATGGAATTTAAATCACATTTACAGTTTCATGGCAAATTATTCTATAATAAGGTAATGGATTAAGACTCATATGATTGGACATCAATTTCGATTTAATTATACGTAGTTCAAAATATTTTTTTCAAATAAGAAAAAGAAGAAACACAGTATCGGTATATAGAGTTTTATCGGCTTTATTACGTACTAGGATGATTAACATGGTACATAGCAACTTGGTTTTATCTAAAAAGTTATTGCTATATTCATTACAAAAATTTTTAAATATCTTAATACGTATGTACATAGTAACTATTTAGTGACTATATAATTACTGCAT